ACTCAGACTTGAAGTTTCCTTGACATTACTGTTGTGCGACGTGTTAAAAGTCATGACGAAATGTATTTGATATTTGACTGCGCCTGTATCAGCAATTCTTATATAGGCATGAAGGTTTTTCTGTGAAGCATGTACCCAAGCATATTGTGATTACTTCGAGCTTCAGACTGTATTGACACTCTGAAGCTTTGTTCCTTCTACTTGCAAGAAGAATTTAACTAAACGAAGACATTGATTGACTCATGATCCTTTCTTTTGCATTGTTAACAGAAATTTCCAGCACAAGACTGTTTATGACTCTTAGCTCTGTTTGAATGATAACCACACCACCCAGCTGATGGTGTTCACTCTGGACCATCAGCACTGACATCATCTTGTAACGTGGCTGGTACAGGTGGAGAAGCTAGCTGCAGATAGCAATTAGCAGAAATCCCAGGATAGCTTGGAGTCATTCCATGAAGCAGGATTAAGCAGAATCATCGCATATTTCAACAAGTCTATGCTAGGGAACAAGTCTGCTCCGGACCAGGCTAACAGTTGACCTTAGTTTAGCCGTGTGTCAAAGAATTCTAGACATACTTCTGATATTATCGAGACTACGGATCATATAGTCACAAAGTGTAAGCAGAGGGGGAAGCACACTCCTGGACTTAAAGCTTTTACCAGTTGCACAGCTGTTTTAAAGAGACAGCCTCTTGTTGGACACTTAAATAATAATTACACTGCTGTACCTTGCCTTATAAATGCTGCTGCGCAGCTGTAACAGAGGGCTGCTCTATATTGGACAGGTCTCATTTTAATCTGTGATTTTAATTGTATAAAGGGTTTTATTCTTATTCCTGCGTGTGTTAATTTGTATTTGAATGGTGAATGTCAATTGTTTTTATTGTTGGCATACAGCTTACATTTTGATCTCTGGAGGGGTTTCTTTTTAATTTGTGTGCAGGTAAAAGGCTCTTTACATACAGGGAGGGGGAGGGGGGGCAGCAGGTGTTGTTGCATTTTATAAGCCGCAACTGGATACTTCATTCATTAAAGTAGATGGATGGATACCGTCTCTCACTGTCTTACACACATGATGATGGAGGTCAGAGATCAACAACTCTTTCTATCACACACTCAGAACACAACAGAGGCATTACCTGGTGGAGCTATTTGGTACTACAACAATATTCAGACTGTTACACTCCGACTGATGGAGCACAATGTTGAGTCTGTGAACACAGAAAACTATCCCATCACAGACTTCATTTCCCTCCTTTGAGTCACTCTACATACTGTTCAGTCAGTCTGTATTTGTGTGATTGTAAGTGTGTCTGTTAAGTAATGCTGTTTTGGATGTTTGTGTATTACTTTATATTTGTGTTAGGACGCCCTTAAAGATGAGACGATGCAGCTCAAGGGGCTAACCTTTAATAAATTAAAACACAGTTTCTATGACAGACATATATATATTACAGTCAGTGATCTGACCTCAGAGTCTCCAGTCTGCAGTTTGGACTCTCCAGTCCAGCCAGTAGCTTCACGACTGAATCCTTCAGGTCGTTGTTCCGACTCATGTCCAGCTCTCTGAGGTGGGAGGGGTTGGACTTCAAAGCTGAGGCTATGACGTCACAGTGAGTCTCTGAGAGTCCACAGCCAGAAAGTCTGTTGTGACACATAAAATAGAGAAATGTGACTCATAGAAGAAGTGTTTGATATATACAGTACGTCTCACATTTGATGATTAAACAGTTTGTCATGTCCTGTTTGGTCTTAACTTTACACATCAGTGGAATCTGTCACTGACACAAAACTCAAATTAAATGGGAAATGGACTTGAGCTTATATCGCTCTTTTCTAGTCTTCTGACTACTCAAAGCGCTTTTACACCGTATGTCAAACACTGATGGCAGAGGTTGCTATGTAGGGAGTCCATCAGAAGTAACTAATCCCATTCATACGCATTCATACGCCACCGACGAGGTAGCGAGAGAAATTTGGGGTTAAGTGTCTTGCCCAAGGACAAATCGAACATGTTGATGCAGGAGCAGGCAGTCCTTCTCACTGAATATCTCATCTTGCGCAGGTCGAGTATTCATACCAACAAAGTAATGTGTGACCTCTGATGACCCCCGTACAGGTATAACTACCGGTGTCATCTGAGCACTCATTCCCTATCATCTTCTCTCTTACGCAGGTCACTGTAGTAGCATTGAGTTGATCGAATAGCATCGAATAACCTAACTTTAACAAGAATGTGTTGCCTTTAGCCTTGTGACCATACGGTCAGAGCAGCGGATTGTATTGTAAGCCCCCCAAAGGCTGCGACAAGCTGTCTCTTTCCAAGGAGAAACAGAGTGCTCCCGCTCAGGCTAACTGATGGTGTGCTAACATGAGCAAGTTCAATAGGTGTTTTTTTTTTTTTTATATATATATATATATATATATATATATATATATATGTGTGTGTGTGTGTTACATACTGGTTAAAGTATCTGTGAAGAGCGTGCTTTCGCTCCCCTCTTGCTGTAGTAGTGTAATATTGATTTTGCCTCACATTCTCACACTTAGGTGAAGTGCTCTTGCTCAGGCTAACTTTAGCTAGACTATCGTCACTTGCTGATTTGGATATTTCAGTCAGTGGAGTGCTCTCACTCTGCCTGACTCACCAGTCCTCTTCATCGGACATAGCCGCTAGGATGAATTCTCATAACTGTGCTAACTATATGGCCCTGTTCAATCCTGAGGATTGCCACGATCGTTGCCATTCATGCCTTGGTATTGAACATCTAAAGGAGGGTCTCTCACAGGACCCATGCATGAGGGCTGCTAGGCTGGCAGATGTGGAAGGGGGCCCATAGCATCTGATATCTCCCTTTTCAGGGATCAACACTATCAGCCATCTCAGTCAGTTCTTTGGGAATTCCCTCCTGAATGTGTTCACAAAAAAAACTATCAAAGCACTTTTTGAACTCAGGGCAATAAAATAAAAACTCGACTGACTATTTCTCCTTAACATTAACAGTCGAACACTATTTGGGGAACAGTGAAGATTTTGTTTAGTTTTAGAATAAGTGAATTAGTACATGACACTGATTTATAATGCTCTAAACATCTGGACTTACTTTGCCATCCTGCAGTTCCTCACAGCTGGAATCAGTCTCAATCGTCCCTGCTCTGATGTCTTGTACTTCTTCAGGTCCAACTCATTCAGAACCTCCTCAGACATCTGCAGCATGTAGGCCAGAGCAGAGCAGTGGATCTCAGAGAGTTCCTTTTCTAATCTGTTCTCTGACTTCAAGAACTCTTGGATCTCCTGATGGACTGAGAGGTCCTTCATCTCCATCAGGCAGTGGAAGATGTTGATGCTTCTGTCAGGAGAGATATCTCTACTGTTCTTCTCCTTCAGGTTGTTGATTACTCCTTGGATCATTTCTGGACTGTTGTCTGTCTGACCCAGCAGGCCTCCTACGAGCCCCTGGTTTGACTTCAGAGACAGTCCATGAAGGAAGCGAACAAACAGGTCCAGGTGACCATTTTTACTTTTCAGGGATTTCTCCATGGCTCTACCGAGAAAGACTTTTAAAGAAGTGTAGTCATCGCTGTTGTCTTTGCCGCCATTGTCGCCTTTGCCGCCATTGTCGCTATTGCCGCTATTGTCGCCTTTGCTGACGTTGTCTTTTTTGCCGCTATTGTCGCCTTTGCTGACGTTGTCTTTTTTGCCGTAGTCTTCGCTGTTGCCGTTGTAGTCGTCGTAGTCATCTCCGCGGAAGTCATTGTAGTCGTCATAGTCGTCGTAGTCGTCTTCGCGGAAGTTGTTGTAGTCGTCGTAGTCGTCTACGGGGAAGTCGTCTACGGGCAAGTCGTCGTAGTCGTGTTCGTCGTAGTCGTCTACGGGGAAGTCGTCTACGGGCAAGTTGTCGTAGTCGTGTTCGTCGTAGTCGTCTACGGGTAAGTCGTTTACGAGCAAGTCGTCGTAGTCGTGTTCGTAGTAGTCGTCTACGGGGAAGTCGTCCTTGCGGAAGTCTTCTTCACGGTAGTCATCTTCGGGGAGGTCGTCGTTCCTGTCATCGTAATCTTGACAGGAACGACTGTCAGTAACTGACTTCCTAGATTTCATCATGGGTTGATTTTGGAGAATATCCTTGATTGAAAATCTTTTCAATTCTTTTTCTTCCAGAAAAGCCTTCAGAACTGTTGTGTCCCTGTTGGTGAAACAGTGGAACATGTAGACTGCAGCCAGAAACTCTTGAACACTCAGATGAACAAAGCAGTAGACTGTTTTCTGGAAGATCACACACTCTGTTTTGAAGATCTCTGTACAAACTCCTGAGTACACCGAGGCCTCTGTGACATCCAGACCACACCGCTCCAGGTCTTCTTGGTAGAATAGGATGTTTCCGTCCTCCAGTTGTTCAAATGCCAGCCTCCCCAGCTTCAGAAGAACGTCCCTGTCAGCCTCCATCAGCTCATGTGGACTCATCTGAGGTCCCTCATCATACTTGTTCTTCTTCCTCTTTGTCTGAACCAGCAGGAAGTGTGAGTACATGTCAGTCAGGGTCTTGGGCAGCTCTCCTCTCTGCTCTGTGCTCATCATGTGCTCCAGAACTGTGGCAGTGATCCAGCAGAAGACCGGGATCAGACACATGATGTGGAGGCTCCTGGATGTCCTGATGTGTGAGATGATTCTGCTGGACAGATCTTCATCATCACTGAACCTCCTCCTGAAGTACTCCTCCTTCTGGGCATCAGTGAAGCCTCGTACTTCTGTTACCCTGTCAACACATGAAGGAGGGATCTGATTGGCTGCTGCAGGTCGAGAAGTTATCCAGATGAGAGCTGAGGGTAGCAGATTCCCTTGATGAGGTTTGTCAACAGTGTGTTTAACGATGATTTCTGTGTGACATTAGAAACAACCTCCCTGTTTTTGAAGTCCAATGACAGTCTGCTTTCATCCAGGCCGTCAAAGATGAACAACAGTTTACAGACAGCGAGCGTCTCTGCTGTGACCTTCTGTAATGTTGGATGGAAAACACGGAGCAGCTCAAGAAGACTGTACTCCTTATCTCCGATCAAGTTCAGCTCCCTGAATGAAAGCAGGATCACCAGACTGACGTCTTGGTTCTCTGAGCCCTCTGCCCAGTCCAGAGTGAACTTCTGCACTGAGAAGGTTTTTCCAACACCAGCGACGCCGTTTGTCAGAACCACTCTGATGGGTTTCTGTTGGTCGGGTTGAGCTCCTGTCTTTGGTTTCTGTTGGTTGGGTAAGGCTTTAAAGATGTCCTGGGACTTGATTGGAGTCTCATGGAGGGTCTTCTTTTTAGAGTCTCTCTCAATCTTTCTCACCTCATGTTGGGTGTTCATCTCATCACTCTGTCCCTCTGTGATGTAGAGCTCAGTGTAGATCCTGTTGAGGAGGGTTCTACTTCCTGTATCATCACTTCCTTCAGTCACACATTCACATCTCCTCCTCAGACTGACCTTATGTTCATCTAAAACCTCCTGCAGACCTCTATCTACTGAAAGAGAGAATGATGGAATCTGCTTATTATTTTCAAATGTTTTTGTAAAAGAAGAAAAAAAGAGTTTTCATTTCTTTACTTTTTACATTTACAAATAAAAGTCCTGTTTTAGGAGGAGATCACAGAAGCAGAAAGGTGTACAGTCTTACTTCGTTCAGTGCTGCTCTGACTGACTGTCTGCAGTCCAGGTCCTGTTCTGGATCTTTCTCCACACTGAGGACAGGACGAGTCTCCTGGTGAACCGGACTGGTCCCAGTATGAGGTGATGCACTGTCTGCAGAACCAGTGTCCACAGCTGGTAGAGACGGGATCCTTCAGGACGTCCTGACACAAAGGACAGGACGGCTGCTCCTCTATAACATGAGTCCTCTTCGTCCCCTGTGAAGACATATCTTTAGAACTAAACTGATTGTTGACTGATGTGAAAATGAAGATTTATCAAACACGATCCAAACACTTAGATGATCATAGAGAGCAGGTAACACCTTCTTTCTTATGTTTGTATTCAGCTCATAGTCTGCAGTGAGATGAGTGTTTCTTGTGTTTTAACATTCCTGCTTTCTTAAAGACTAAAGAAGAACATTTTCTCTCTCACTGTCTTTTGAAACAATAATGATCTGTGTGCAGTTTTTTTTATTAAAGCAGTAAAGACTCAGTTTATTATCTTCTCTACACTTTACCTGTCACACAGCCTTTTCCTTTGGCTCTCTGGTTTCTCAAATACCTTCTTACCTATGACCACACAGTATCATATCAGACGATGATGGAAAAAACTAAACTGAGACAATAACAAACTCTTTGAAACAGGGGACGTGCTGAACGCCATCTTCTGTTGGTAATAAACGTACAAATGAGAAGTAAGAGGATAAGGAGCAGGTCCAAAGCTTTGTAAGAGTCCTCTTAGATTAGATTACAGCTTTACAAGGTGACTGAGCGACCCTACAAGGAAACATCTGAAGTGAGAAGGAGTTAGTAAGCAGACTTACTTTGTGTCTGAGGGTCCAGGTTCTTTACTGAAGTATGGATTTTCATCTTTGGACAGATCACTCTTCATAGACAGACAGCTGGGTACAGGAGACTCTGCTCTCTGTCTGCGCGACTCAACTCTGCAAAAAACCAACAAGTTTTATATTTCTATGAATCTTTGATCAACTCTCTGATGACAATGCTGTAAAAGAAGCCGTATACAAAAAGATCTACAGCTGTTGATAACGAGAAGGTTTCCAGGTTTGTTTACTTTATGTCTGAAGGTAAAGGTTCATTTTTGAACTTCAGAGACAGACAGCTGGGTACAGGAGACTCTGCTCCGTCCTCCTTGTCCTCTAAACACACGTCCATGTTCTGATCTGAAGTCAGTCTGAGAGGAAAAACAGAAACACACACTGAGAGATCAACACACAAGAAACAGGAAACCAGTTTGATCCTGTAGGTGAGGACCTGGTTAGGACTGTATAACTGGGTATGGATGGTGAGTGTTGTTTGGGTGATGTCGGTAAGAACACCAGTGAAGCAGTTTTCATTCTTGAGTTTCTCCTTTATTCCAGTATGAATATCTGTGTGTGCGTGTGTGGTTAGGTTCTCTTGGACGCACACAATAAAGCACTCAACACAACTGGTGATTCAGGCAGAGCAGTAACAAGAAACAGTTAACTCTCACACTCGGGGGCGGGGCTATGACGTCATCACCCAGAGAGCCTTTCGAACTGATCTAACGCCACAACCAAGGAAACATCTGAAGTGAGAAGGAGTTAGTAAGAAGACTTACTTTGTGTCTGAGGGTCCAGGTTCATTACTGAAGTATGGATTTTCATCTTTGGACAGATCACTCTTCATAGACAGACAGCTGGGTACAGGAGACTCTGCTCTCTGTCTGCTCCACTCAAATCTGCAATAACAAACTTTTGTTATATTTCCATCACATGAATACCTTTTTAGATACCACAGCAACAAAAAACAGAAGTCTGGGCACCCAGACGAGGTAATGTTCTTGTTTTGAATGAGCAACCTGCACACAGTGGTGATACAGAAAAGATCACTGTGTCATGATTCCTGTTTAGTTTCATATTTGGTTCATTTCCTGTGTTTACTTTTCAGTGTTTCCTGTTTCATGTTGTAGTTTTTCCCTCTGTGTGTTGTGTCTTTAGTGCTTCCTCCAGCCTGTGTGTTTCCCTCCAGTTTTGATCGCCCTCATTGTCTGTCTCACCTGTGTTTGATTGCCCCTTGTATTTAGTGTTTCTTCTGTGTCAGTTCATTGTCAGTCGTCTACCTTCCTGTGCTCCTGTTTCATTTGCTTTTTGCTCTCTGGCTCCCTGAGTTTTGTGTTTCTCCCTGTTTGTGGATTTTTGTTGATCTTTAAACAAGTAGCTTGTTTTTGACTTTTGCCTTCTTGTTAAATGAAGTATTTTTGGTTTCTGCTACTTCAGACAGCCTGATATGATGACAGGCTGAACATTTTTAAGGAGGATTTTTTTTAAAGGGGACAAATTATGAAAAATCCACTTCTACAATGTTGTTGAACATATATCTGGGTAACCTGAGAGTCTACTGACCCACAAAATGTGAAAAAAACTCATCCAGTCCTTTGTTTGTGGTCTGCATAAGTCTTACAACACAGAGAGCTCTGTTTCAAATGTGCTCTCCTTGTGATGTCACAGTGGGATTCTGGTAAAAATAAATCTCCTCCCCTCCCCTGGTACCTCCACCCATGGACTCCACCCCCAGACTAGAACAAAACTTTTGCGCAGGTCAACCATTTTTATTATTGCTAGTGAAGGAGTGATGTCTACTGGGAAAACTCAGGGGGCGGTCATTACATTTAAAGAGACACACACACCAAAACGGAGCGTTCTGAGAGAGCTGTTTATACAGGGTCAAAAACCTCCTCTGGTGCTTGATTCATGTTATATTTTGACCAAAGCACAGCACAGATGTTTCATTTAGACCACAGGGGACTGTTTGAAAAGGTGGAGGAGGGGGATGATATGTCCTCTTTAATATCAAATGATTTCTCTTTAAATCAGAAAGTTTAAGCTAGCAGATTGATTTAAGTAGAAATTAAATCTGAAGTGTAATGAGTTGGTAAGTTTTCTTACTTTGTGTCTGAGGGTCCAGGTTCTTTACTGAAGTATGGATTTTCATCTTTGGACAGATCACTCTTCATAGACAGACAGCTGGGTACAGGAGACTCTGCTCTGTCCTCCTCGTCCTCTAAACACACATCCATGTTCTGATCTGAAGTCAGTCTAAGAGGAAAAACAGAAACACACACTGAGAGATCAACACACAAGAAACAGGAAACAGCTTGATCCAACGACATACACACACACACACACACACACACACACACACACACACACACGTCATATTAATCTCAGTTGTGACTTCATTTGAAACTCTCTGTGTTCAGTTCTCAGGAGAAAACTGAGACAACAGAAGTGAAGATATAAAAACTGGATAAACACTCACCCCGCTTCACTCTTCAGTTCTCTGCTGCTGTCTATTTAAAATGGAGTCTTACTAACTGAACACTTTCACTTTCACCGTCCCGCCTCCTCTCATGAGCCTGGATGACTTGGTTAGTGTTGCCCCTCCCCCTCCATTTACAGGAAATCAGCTGGGTTCGTGTGTGTGTGCTTGTTTAGGATTTAAAAAAAACAAAAAAAATGTTCTCTTATTGATTTGGCACTGGATATGCGTTACCTCAGGATACATTGCCTTATCAATATTTAAAGATAAAGTGTGCAGTAACACTTGTACATGGTCACATGACAGGAACTATCAGGTCTTATTACTCTGAACCTAAAGACTTGTACTGGTGTGTGATCTGTGTGTGTGTGTGTGTGTGTGTTTGAGGAGCCAAACATCAGAGTTCTGTAGTGCCTGGATTGTATTTGATCTTCAGGAATACAAACGCCCAAATACTACATCCTTAAATACATGAAACGGAAGCTGGTATTGACATAATGTTGGTTAATGTAATTCCTGCAAACGCCAATATGTTGCAGGCCTGTGCTGTTAAAATGCATGTTGACTGACATCATTTTTAAGCAGCAAACGTCATGTATGACCTTCCTTTCACTTCAATCTTTATTCAGTAACCACTTTGAGAGACTTAAAGGTGTTAAACCTCCTAATGCATATGAGCAGATATGAAGAGTATACCCATTTGTCAACATGTTAAAGAACATGCAGTGGGTGTCAGTGAGCTCATTACCTCTAATAAGCCCGTGCAATGTTTTCTGCAATCCTGGATTGATGGTTTATGTTTTGCAGCAATTGTGCAATCTGCTCGATGTGAGGAGTCACGAGAAAGAAGGGAACCTCCTCACTGAGCCCAGCCGACACATGCCGCAAGATCCCGGCATGCTTATTCAATTCCCCTCCCCTAAACATCCTCAAAGACTATAGCTCAACGCTCGTGCAAAAAAACTAAAAATGCAAAATGCAAGCTTGATTCGATACATTAAAGTTACAGTTGATAATTGGATCTTACCATTGTACTGATATTCTCCAAAATCGCAGCTCCTGCGCTGTGGATCCTCCATGCTGATGATCCACAGGGGGACAAATCAACCCCCCCAAAACGGGGCTGGGAAGGTACAAGACTCCCAGGAGGCTCCGGGCAACACAACTTCCAGCTTGAATGCGGAATGAACAAAAAAGGCTTTGGACTTCCTCACGAGTAGAAAAAGCGACAAGCTATTTTTTTTACAGAAAAAATTAGGTATTTATCAGAATGCACCGCGCATTTCAACTACCTCTCTCTCTGTCTCTCTCTCTACCTAACACACCAACACTTTAACAGATGTGCACGAGGATCCCATTCTGCATGATCGATGTGAGACACGAACGAGTCTTGTTGAATCCAAATCACACCAGATCCAACAACAAATGTATTGTGTCTTATAAGAAACTTATAGGCTCTTATTAGAAATGTACTGACACTTTATATACCGTCATAAACATTAATAAGATGTTTATGAACATTAATAAGACTTCATGAGTGTTAATTAAACTATAAATTAATTTATAATTGGCTTGTAAGATATTAATTAACACAAAGAAACTTGTTTATAGACCACTTATCAACATTCATAAGATGTTTATTGACATTGATAAGACTTTATTAGGTTCATATCAATGCCTTATAAAGGTTAATAAATACTTTATTATGCACTTATTAAGAGTTAATAAAGCTCCTCTGTAGGTACTAGATCTAAAGTGCGAACACTACTTATAAAGGTTAATAAATACTTTATTATGCACTTATTAAGAGTTAATAAAGCTCCTCTGTAGGTACTAGATCTAAAGTGCGAACACTACTTATAAAGGTTAATAAATACTTTATTATGCACTTATTAAGAGTTAATAAAGCTCCTCTGCAGGTACTG